ACTCCGTTCCTAACCGTTAATTTCGTACTCTCTCTCTCTCTCTCTCTCTCTCTCCGAGTCGGACGTTTCGAGAAGAACGCGTAAAATCGTTAATACGAGGCAAGGGGACGGAGGAAGGAGGACGATCGAAGAGGGTGGCAAAGGATTGGGCGGAATCTAACCAAACATTGTTCGCTCGAAGAACAAAGCTTGATTTATTGTAATGAGTTTGCAGGAGTTAAGAGGTACGAGAACGCTTGTCTCTTCCCCCCTCCCCATCTACCTACCTCCCCTCCCCCCTCCCCCCGGCCCGCTTAACTCGATATTGAGACCCCGGGTGCGGTTTGACGGGGATCCTCGGATCAACCCCCGTCATAAACCCTTCTTAGCACCACCGGCCACCCTCCCCCTCTGAAATATGCATGAACTTTCCGCATACTGATTGCGTTATTTGTATCATCTACAGGAGGAGGAGACGAGTGGCGAGGAGCGGTTGGTCGCTCGTTGTTGACGAGCATGACGACTTCAACCGTGTCTTCGTGCGTGCGATAACTTTCGAAGATCGATCAGTTTCTTCAGTTTCTTGGAACAGAACAGTGGCGTAACACGGTTCACACAAATCTTGTTCAATTTGTTCGAGGGAATCGTTAATTGTCGATCGAGTTATTAGGCGTGCGAGTGAGTTCTTTTTTTCTTATCGAATTCAAGATTTCATCGCGTTAATTATAATTATATTCCAATTGTTTTCCACTCGGATTCTCGTCGAGCGAAGTAATGCAAATCTTCTTAAAAACGAAACGAACGCTCTTTCGCCACGGGCGGCAAGTAATTCGAATTCAAAAGTTGCGATCTCTGATCTAGAAAAGAAAGGGGAAATAACTTATTATTTGCACACCTGATAGGTGTTGAAATGCACGAGGGCGGACAGATCGGCGGCTAGGCTCGAATCGTTGGAGTTAAAGTTGGTTTTCAAGCTTCGGTTGGATTTCCTACCGAAAACGTTCGATTCATTGAGAACTGACGGGGGAGCCATAATTCCCGTCTCGGTTTGACGTTAATGCTTCCCCTACTTCGGATCCGGCAGATAGGCGAGGGGGTTAAGCTCGCCGCGACATATTTATGGAGAGGACGAGATGTTATCGCGCACGAGGACCCCGGGTTTGTCCGATCGCGCTGCGAAATCCGCCCTTCCTACTACAATCTACTTCGCAATTATCGCGCGCGACGTTAATATTTGCGGCCCACACCCTCTCCTTCGATTCCAAGGGAGCGGGGAGCAAGCTCGCTTCCTCTCGCGGATGAAGAACGAGAGAAAGCAACCGTATCGATGGAACTTCGTTCGAGAAAAGGCCTCGATTTATGCGATAAAACAAGTCGGATCCTTTTGTAATTTTAACCCTTTCGATCATGGAGTCCTCATATAAGGATATGAATGAGTAAGAAAAGAAAGAAAGGAGAAAATTTTTGTTGTGCAAAATGTAACGCCTCGACGGAAACAAAAATTGTTCATGTTCAATAACTGAAACTTTTATAATTGCATTTTGGCGAGATTAAAATCTTTTTCAATACTTCGAATTCGAAACGACCGCTCGACGAACCCATGATTCTTTCTCTCCCCAGAATTGTAAATAACTCGTGATCGAAAAGGTGAGCGAAAGTATTTCGTAAAAATAATACCACTTTTGCCTATAACATCACAAAAAAACTTCGCTTAGGATCGAAGAAAAGAGTGCACAACGTCGAACTCGAATAATTATAAACTCGCAACTTGTTCTCGAGGCGAAGAAGGCAACTTTATAACTGGTGTTCGTGGGGTAGGTATTCGTCGAGGATAAGCACGAGTTTGGTGGTGACGACGACGACGACGACGACGACGAGGAGGAGGAGGAGGAGGAGGAGGAGGGAGGGTGTAGCGGGTCGTCGAGGTGCGTGTAAATTAAAGGCGTCATAGATTTTCGCGGTAGCCCGCAGGATCAGGGCCTTAGATTTGCGTCCGGCAGATTACCCCGGGGGTGAAATGGGACAATGGGCGTTAGTCTGGGCCGACGGCGTATAAATAAGGATCCCCAGGAAGCTTGTGGGGGTAAGGGGACAGCAGGCAGAGGAGATCCTCGCCCGGTAGCGACGTGGTAGCCGAGTAGAAAGCCGAGGCTAGTGCTGAGACCGGTCGGCCGTCCATCTTGGCCGTCGCCGTGGCGGTCCTTATCTGCACTCACAGCTCCGCTGCTAGACGTCCGGTGATCTAGGGCACTTCTCTAGCTCTCTCTCCCCGCTTCTCTAGCTCGCGAGAGACATCCACACACACACACACACACGCACTTGCATTCTCTCTCTCTCTCTCTCAGTCGCCTTCTCCTCCTCCTCTTCTTCTTCCGCATCGTTCGTTTCATCGTCCCTCTATCGCGTCTTCTCTCTCTTCCCCTCGCTCGATCGTTCGAGAAAAGTAGAATTACTTCTTCTAGTAGAAGAAGAGCTTCCTTATACTCTCTTTGAAATATTTATTTTACTTAGGAACAATTTATCGTTTCTTAAGAATTCCAGTCGAAATCGCGCGATAATTGTTGACCATTATATTTGAATTTTATGGAATGATTTTATCCAACTCGCTATTTTACCGACCGATATTTTAACGAAACGCTTATACTATCCCTATTTCGTGCACCGATTATACGTATACCCAGATGAACAAGAAAGTTAAGCGAAGAAAGCTACAGAACGAAATTTCGTTCGTTCTGTATCGTAAATAACGGCAGAGAAGGCAGAGAAGATGTCCGTCCAAGCGTGTGTCACCTCGCGCGACGCAAGGTGTTTTTTTCAAGGCGGCGGATACACGGAGGAGGAGGAGGGCGGTGTGTATTTGCGGTCGGTCGGCAGTGTCCTATTACGCGTCGAGACGACAAACTTCCTCCCGTGGGCGGGGTGTAACCAAGTCCCGTCACACGGTTGTTTGTGCATATCGGATGAACGACACTTTCCAGGATCTCGGTCGGGCCCTCGTGAAATCTTAATCGCGGTGGCACGTACTTATCGCGCGTCGCACCGACACGTAGGCACCGTTCCACACCGTTTGTGCGCCGCCCCTCCTCCTCTCCCCCCTCCCCCCCAGCCTCGAACAGGAGCGGAGGAGCATTAAATATTGGAAGTATCCTGTTGGAATTATACAAGAGGGAAGGTTGGCGCGTGGTGGACCCCTCTGAGGCCAGGTCGCGCGTGGTGGAGGCAAGCTTAAAGAGATAGAAACCGAGGGAGGAGGGGGGTGGTTTAGAACGAGTATAAGAGAACGAGTGAAGGGGGTAAGGCAGTCTTAGGAAAAGCAGGCAGTCAGTGTGTGTATATATATATATATATATGTACACACACACACACGCACACACACCTAGCTCCTCTCCCTTGTGGAGAGCGCTGGCAGCCCGGATAGCTCCTCTCTCGAAGAAGCCTCGGTTTCGAGGGAAGCGGCGATACGACTCGGCCATGTACGGGTAACCTTACCCCTTACGAATACACCAGACAATTGAACTTCCCCCGTTTATTGCTTCTAATTAAACGACCGAGATATTTCTACTACGTTTCATTAGCGTACAACCCGAACTCGATCCGCGCCGGGTAATACGTTCACGCGGACTTGTCCCTCCTCCACTCCCCTCTTCTTTCTCCCTTTAACGCGCGGAGGAGAAAAATTTTCGTGTCCTCCCTTCCCCCCCCCCTTTTCTCGAGTTTTGCAAACGGAATTGTTGGGGGAAATGCGTGCGAATTCATAAAGCAGCGAGTGAACGATATAATTTATCTAGGATCCAGGACGAGGTTTTTCGTTTTTTTTTTCCTTTCGAATTATCACGTTTGAAACGCGGTACAAACTTTTTTCCTCTTCTTTTATTAATCAAAATTGAATCGAGAGGGATGAATTTGGTATGAAAAAAATTGAAAGGAAAAATGTACATTTTGAAGATAGTTGGTTACGTGCTGAAAGTTTTACCATTGATATGTATGTAAATCTATCGAAATGTATTTTTTAAAATTCTCGTCAAAGACACGGATCAAGAATTTCTTTCGCGTATCTTTCCCCTCCCCTCCCACTTTTCCTCGATTTGGGAGGAACGGAGATGGAGAATTTATGGGATCTAAGACGAGGTTTCGTGTTTTAGTATTGGTTTGAAACGTGATGCAAACTTTCTTTTTTTTTTTTTTATTAAAATTGAATCGAGAATTTTGAGAGGGATCGATTTAGACGGTATGGAAAAAATGAGAGGAGGAATTCTTCTAATGAAAATGTACAGAAATACATTTCAAAGATTCATTGAAGTTATTTTTAAATTCTCGTCAAAGACACGGATCAAGAATTTCTTTCGCGTATCTTCCGCGCCCCCCTCCCCCTCCCCCCGCTTCCCCGTCCTTTTCCTCGATTTGCGAACGGAAGTGGAGGAATTGTTGGGGCCGCTGCGTGTGAATTTATAACTAAGGTGAAAAAATTTTAAAGAAATTCGAAAGGAAAATCTTTAAAATATACAGAGATATCGCAGGCATTGAATGATTAAAAGTGAAGTTTTCAGTGTATGATATTTTATGGGATCTAAGACGAGGTTTTTAGTATTGGCATACCGTTTAAAACGTGATACAAACTTTTTTTTTATTAAAATTGAATTTTGAAAAGGATCAATTTAAAAATTTAAAATGAGAAAATATATAGAAATACATTTTAAGTATCGAAATATATTTTTAAATTCTCATTACAAAAACGATCTCTAACGATATTCTTCTTTTCGCTACTAATAGCAGCTTTTTTAAAAAAAAATCCAATTTTAACGAAATTATCGTTTCAAAAGACAAGCGTATACATACGTGAACCGACGTGCGTCAGAATGATCAATTACGTTCGAATTTGATTCAAACTTCTCAACTTCTCTTACTCGATGAAAAAAATTGCACATTCGTTATATTTCCCTCCCGTCGTATTCGAAAGTTTTTCGACTCGACACGTTTCCTGGCCTTCGACTTCGTCTCGAAACACGCTCGTCACATCTTAAACGAACCTTGAACGCGCGTGATGATTAATTATCGTTGCACCTCGGTGTTACGATCTCTGCACCACTCCCTTAATGGAAATAACTAAGTATTGTTTGGCCGCATACCTTCCGCACGGAAATGATCCATCACGGTCCGGATAATTAGCACAACCGTGGTTGCTGCGTGTAATCGTCACTCGCAACGAGGATAAACTCTCTTTCCAGCAAAATATAACGTGATACTTTGCGAGCCGCCACTGATCGTCGCTTTAACAGCATAAAGATACACATTTCACGGTAAATTAACCCTTTGCACTCGTATTTATACCTAACAAGGTTACCAATCAAGTAACAAAAGTCCCTAGAATGTAATTATATTACATATATATATATTTATTAATGTAAATCATAAAATAGAATAATAATTATATATAATTAATTATTTATATTTATATGTATAAATGTATGTAATTGAATAA